AGAGAGAGGGCAGCAGCGCAGGAGTTCAGGCAGATCCCTTAGAGAAACAGCTCCCTTCTGCCATTAATGGTAGCTTGTCAAAGCATAATAGCAATCACATTAAAATTACATTATCAGCTAGATCTGCACTTACAGCTCATGGTACTGGAGCCAGATGTGTTAAAACAGCGTGTGATGCAAAGAATGGGACAGAAGAAGGAGAGGAATGAAAGACCCAAGCACGAAATAGCTTTCCTCTATTCTTAAACCTCGTCACCCCTTTAATCTTGGCCCATCTCTCACCTTGTCAATCAAACAGGCAAACTGGTTATTGAGGCTCCTCATCTGCTCTCTCTCCTGCCTTCGGATGCGCTGGATTTCGGGGTCGATCTTCACATCAAGTGGCCGCAGCAGGTTCTCATTGACACGCACTGCACGAATGCCTTCCCTTCCACAGCCACGGAAGCCCAGCATGCTCCCATGCCTCCCGCCTTCACCACTGGCACGAACACCAGAACAAATCCATTTACACCCATCCACGTTTTGCAAGCTTCGGCTGCTCCAGGTTCCATAACCTCTTCCAAATGGAGCAGTGGAGGGGAAGGCACTGCTCCGGCAGCAGCTCATACCACCACCAGCAGAAGATGCTGAGAACTTCCTTCCATGAAGAGCCCTTCCAGCTGCAAGCTGCTGGCTCATATTGACTGATGTGACCCAAGAGAGGACAAGGACACGGGGCTGCTGGAAGAGAGTGGAGCAGGCAGCTCCAAAAGGGCCCCTATGCTCTGCCACCCCCGAGCACCACCTTTATACACATCTCAGGAGCAGGGCTTGGTTGAGGCAGATAAATAATTTGGGGTTTTTGCGAGGTTTGCCTCACCTGGCAGCAATTCATAGGTTTAAATATGCAAAACAATGCATAACACTGAACATTTGTGAAATCCTATGGAATTTTGCTGTTTTTAAATTGCTTTGCTTGCCTTCCCAGCCTTGAGGACACCGTGGGCTGAGTTTTGCAAGGATTCTTCTTTTTCTCAGCTTGTCTTCCTTCCTTCCATTAATCACCCTTGAGAGAATCTCCCACTCTGCGAAGGAAAGTTTGTAGGGCAATTTTCTGTTGGACAGCAAATTAAAACTGAGTTTTGCATTATCTGCTCCTTTTGTAGCCACTCCCTTAGGATTCTCTGAATCTTAAGCTGGTTATTAGGGAAATTTATTCTCAGAAAGAGTGGTCGGGCACTGGCACAGACAGCCCAGGAAGGTGGTGGGGGTCACCATTGCTGGAGGTGTTCAAGAGCCATGGAGATGTGGCACTGAGGGACCTGACTCAGCAGGCATGGTGGGTTGGGTCAACCATTGGACTGGATGATCTTGCAGGTCTTTTTGAACTTGAATGATCACTTGAGTGAGTGGGCATGGTGGGGATGGGCTGGCAGTTGGACTTGGTGATCTTAGAGGTCTTTTCCAACCCTAATGATTCTAAGATTCTATAATTCCAAGTCTTCTCACAGAGTAGCAAAGACAGGATGTGTCCACCAAGCACAACACCTCGAAGCTGGGACATGGGGTGGACTGGGCACACCGATTTCCTCACACAGGAGTGTGAATACTTCTTTTTACATAGCCTTCTGTGCACCATCCCTTGTTCAAGAAAATCACTGATTGGGCAGGAGTCACCTCCTCTAACTTTTGATGCTAAGCTGTGCTGAGATAGCTCTCCAGAGAGCCTTTCTGTTCTTCATTGACTACAGTGAAAGCCTAAAATGATGAGCTCAGACTTAGATGCCCAACTTTATAAGTACAGATGAGTGCAGCTGTATCTTCTCACTAGGTTTTTAACCCTGATTGTATAGAATACACCAAAACAAACAAACAAAAAAACAAAAAGCAAGATTCCTTGAAGATAATAAATACTCTAGAAAGTAGGAGGCTTAGCCACAAAGCTGTTAGCTGGATGCTTGCTAACCATTTAATTAGGAGCAGTGGTAGGCTTGGCCTTGGTGGGAAGGCTACAAATGGAGCAGCAACCATGCAAAAACACGCACCTTATTAATACAGCTGCTCTATGGCTATTCCCTGTCACTATTCTTTATATTTGAGCTTGTAATTAAAACTCAGGATACCTCAAGGCAAATAAAAATGATTTATTAGGGTTGCTTGACAGGTGGGGAAGAAAAGGCTGATAATTTTAATACCTTTGCTGAGATCCTCACAATGCCTCAGAGTGAAGCCAAGATTACATCTCTGTCCTGGTGGCATCTTTCCAAAGCCTCTTTCAAAACAGAATGGCAAAGGGTTTCATTTCAGA